CCCCCCCCCCCCCCCAATCAAAGATTTTTCCTTGCTATATATAGTCAAAGTACCCTTGCTCTTTGCTTGGTCCGACGCTCGCCTGCCTCCAATATTTCTTGGTCGTCCCTTTAGGCGCTGCTCCTTCCGACTCGACGGATGTCGGGAAAAGGGAGCAGAGTGGACTATGTTATCTTCATTGACCGGTCTCTTAGACGGGACGTTGATCGATTCGATCGTGACGGTCAAATTTTGACCAATACAAAGCTCTAACACAATAAGATATTCTATGAAATTATTAGACCACCGGCCAATAATTAAACTTTTAGGGGATAATTTTTTGTTGCTAAGGAAAAACTTAATGAGGGTAACATTTCTTCTTCGGTTAGCTGCATAAAATTTTTCATCGTTAAGCAATGACAAGAAAAAGGGATTCTAACAAAGTGAAATAAATAACAACTATAACAATTATACCTAAGTCTTAACCAAGTTGGTTCAACTATTAATCATTTAAGCAAGCTCAATTAATGTTATCATCAATTTTTTTTTTTAAAAAGTATAAATTAAAATTGGAATAACTTTATTTGTGTGAGCTTTCTCACATTACCGCAGATAAAAGGGGGAAAATTGCCGCGGCTAGCATTAAATTTTTTAATTCTGATGAAAATGTTAACTATTTTAGATTTTATTTGAAAGGGGCAATATAAAGGTAAATTAGTTCTTATCCCAAGAGAGTCTATTAAAATAACTCAAGTTTAAGATCAACGGGTGAGGATTATTATCGTTCAGCTCTAATCTATGTACCTTCTTTTCCATTATCTTGCGGTTGTCACTCTTTTCAGTTAAGCAATTATAGTATTATTCTCGTATATTTTTATTTTTATATTTCTATTATTACATATTATTCTTTTCGGTTCACTTTAAATAATTTTTATACATATTAAGAAATTTACTTTTTAGCATTAATTAATAATAAAATTAATTATATTAATTTATTTATTGAAAATATAACAAACTACTCCTAGACTCTTTAGTCCAAAGGCAATTCTGGAAAGTTAATTCTTTTTTGATATCTAAAAAAATTAAATATTGCGAACCACAAAAAAAGACAAAAAATTACTTAAAGTAAACCGGAGGGAGTATTTCTTTTGTTTCGATTTTCTTAATATCTTGCCGTTGTTACTTTTTCTTTTCCCATGATTTCTTTACTAATGTATTTTTTTTTTCATTATTGCTGAGTTTATGCTTTTTTTGAGTCGAGAGTCTACTAAAAATAACCTTTTTACTTCACAAGGTAACAACAAAATCTGCAGAAATACTATCTTTTTCATACCTCACTTACGAGATTACACTTACACTGAGTTTGTTATTGGTGAACTCTATGTACCTGACAAGTGAGGCTTGCTCAGTTGGTAAAAGCACCTCAACCCACGATCGTTAGGTCTTGGGTTCGAGTCCTGCTGGGGGAAAGTATGGAAACATTATAGAACCCTCTAAGGCCTCATTTGTTTTTTTTTAAGATTAAGACGTCTGAATTTGAATACACATTTGAATATTAAGATGTGTATAAAGGTCTGAATACTAAATGATTAAGGCTGTTTGATTTTTAACATCTGAATATATAAAATTTATCTTTATTTGAAAATTAATAAACATAAAATTCAAATAAAATACTTCATCCGTTTCAAATTAGATGAGGTAGTTTGACTCAGCACGAAGTTTAATAAAAAAAAAGTTTTTTTTTGAAATTTGTGGTCTTAAAAGCTTAAGGGGTAAACGCTTTGTGGGGCCATGTCATTTTTGTAGTTATAAAAGCTTCTCATTAATGGTAAATGAGTAAAATAAAAAGTTTAAAGTTGAATTATTTTCACAATTATAAATGTATCATTTATTTTGGAACAGACTAAAAAAGAAAGTATATCATCTAAATTGAAACTGCGGGAGTACTAATTAATCTAATATTCTAATGTTTCATCAATAAAATATATAATTTTTTTAAAATATGGTAGTTTCTGTTGGTGATGGCTAACATCGATGCTTGTGAATGCCCACTAGAGGCGTGATTGGTGGTAGGTTGGTTGATGGTTATGGTTCAGGGTAGTAGCTAGTGGTGGTTAGTAGTGGTAACGATTATGATTGAGGAAGTTGATGGTGAGTGGTGATGGTTAGTAATGACCGGTGGTGGTAATAATTGTGATTGAGGAGGCAATGGTAAGTGGTGGTAGTTAAGAATGATGTGCAGTGCTGGTTATGGTTGTTGATAGTGATGTGATGATTAGTTGTGGTAGTTGATGTGGATTAGTATGTTTGTGTTTGAGAATGATGGTGATGGGAGTGGTGCAGATGGTAGGTGGTGGTAGTCGATTATGGTGGCGGCTATGATTGAGAATGATGGTGGCGGTGACATGGTGATAATTGATAATGGTAGGCAGTGACGATAATTAATAATGAATATGGATGATAGCTTCTTAATAAAATTAAGTCTCTATCTTAATCATACAAATCTATTTTGACCTATTAAGGAGTTGTGAAGTAAAAAAAATAAACAGACTTAATGATTAAGATTTGAATAATTAAGTTTCAGACTTTAAAAATAAATAAACTTAATGTTTGAGATCTGAATAATCAAGATTCAGACAACAAATGTGGCCGAAATTGGGAGGTGTTAAAAAAAATAAAAAATTTATGTACCTGGTGGTATTGTGCCTTATCCTCTGCAACTACATAAGCAGTCCGCCAAAACGGCTCCAATTATTATCATTTTGCTCTACCGGTCGCTGTCCATTGAAAATCTCATATTCAACCTCCACCCCCGGGTTAACTCTTTACCATGGTTACTTTAACGAGACTTAAAATTCGTTTTCCTAACTAAACCTTAAACCTTCCACTTATCTACAATTCGCCCATCCTCTTCTCCCTGCTATAAATTTACGCTTCGAGACTCGCTAAGTTTGCCCAACTGAAAAGCCTTAGGGCACTTTTAAAAAGAAAAAAAAATCAATACATTCATAAGTTGTTTGTATAGCTCTCCAATTACAATGGCGAATTCCTCTAGAAGGCTGAGATCGGCGTTTGAGAGGTCAATCTCACCTACCGGCCGGTTCTGCAACACCATGGCGGCAACTGATGCGACGTCGTTCGCTTCGTACAGGACCTCTAGCTTTTATTCGTCTCAATCGTCAGGTTGTTTCAACCGATCGGCTTCTCCGACGCGCGTGAATCTCCACGCGCTGGCGCCGATGAATTCTACGCCTAGCGTTAAGTTCTCCATAGATAGATCTAGCTCTCCTCGCCGTTCCGTGGCAGTGTCTCAGCGTGATCAGGTGGTTCGGAAGCTGATTCCGAAAAGGACGTGCTTGTGCTCTCCGACGACGCATCCTGGTTCGTTCAGGTGTAGTATGCATAAGAATATGAGAAATACTCCTTCGATTTCGTATTCACCTAGCCGATTGAATGCTCGGCGATCGGCGATGACGAACTCACTGGTGCGAATCTGGTCTGTTGAAGGTGATTTAGTAAAACGAGCTCTGGCAGCTCTTATTAGGCCTTCTTCGCATCATCAGAGACGTCGAGGTGACTTTCAACCGCGTCCTAGCCGGCTTTCCAGAATGTCCAAAGTATAACCTATGGAAAAGTTTCCGTTTCCGTGGTTACAGGTTGGTGATTTTCATATATTATCTGAAGCTCATCTCCTGAGAGTTCTCCGGCGATGGTGTCAGATTCCAGCTGCTGTTTTTACTACTCCGACGAAACGAAAGCTATGGCAATTTTGATACAGTACGGAAGTAGTAGAATTCTCCCTTGTACATATGAATTTGCAGTAACTGATGCAATTGAAGGACAATTTGGACTTTTAAATTCCATAAAAATAACCAGGAAATTAAATTTGATTAAATTTTAACTAAAACATCATAAGGCATTGGATATGGTTGAGAAATTTGTGTGGGCTTTTTTGGTGTTTAGTGGAGTTGCGTGACTTGTTTCGTTTTTTGTGTTCATTCGCAGCTTTTGTATTTCCCGTCGTGTTCGGCGTTCATCGTTCCATTATGCTTTGGCGTTTCCCGTTCGTTCGCCGTATCTGCGTTCCGGCGTTCGTCGTGCTTTAGCATCTGTTCATCATCTTTCGTCCAAGGTAATATTGATTTTTTAATTTTTTTTCTTCGTATATTTTCCATTATCTTTTTATTTTTAAAAACTTTTTTATTTATTTGCTAGTTGAATTTGTTAATGTTTTTTCTTTGGTGTCTGTTTCAGGTTTGGGTTTCATATTCAGGTTTGGTAACTTTTACCTTGACTTGGAATCTATGGAGGGGAGATGTAAGAAGGATGTTAAATTCAAAGTGATTTGGAACTTACTGGACAAATAAAAGGATCATGAAATAAACTCCAGAAAAATCTTTTGATAAAAATGAAAATAATAGGCTAAAACGGTAAAATTATAAATCTAAAAATTACAAAAGCTACTTTTTTCTGCTTTTTTTAAAATTATTTGTGTTTCTCATCAAAAAATTTTTCTTTCAAAAACTTCGCCAAACATCTGAATTTTAAAAAAAGTAGTTTTGGATTGAAAAAATTTGGTCAAACAGTCTAGTAGACGTTATCCCTATTGTATGTGAGTTAGAGTACATCGAGAAAAAAGCTAAGATACAAATACGAAAAAGAACCATAACAGAAAAATCTAATGGAAATTGATTAAGGGAATCGGACAGTAATAAAAGCAACAAAATGGGAGACAGGCTGGACGTTGGTGTCTATGGCCTATTTTTATGATGATGGTAGGTCCTACGCATGAGCCTTTTCAAACATGGTGAACAGGTAATATGGACCTTCTAGTAGTCACTCTGTCGAAGGAAGCACTGGAGTTGATGAAAACATTGCAGCAACGATGAAATTATTTTTGTTTGACTTATAGGTTATAATTAATTTCGAACCGTAAAATTACCATTATAATTATATTAGAATAACTTATTATATTTTTAAAGTGTGACTCTTTCCCAAATCACGCATAAATGCAAAATGGCTCTGTACAGCTTCTCTATAATCACTTTATTGCCAGGATGGCTGGAGGCTCGGTGGCACTTTGAAGGAAGATAGGAAAGGAGGAGTGAGCCGTCATGAAAGTTTGAAACTGACAATAGCTAATGCTTAAATGACAAAATAGGTCCTGAAAAGTTCCAACTTCGTGATCCCTTTTTCTTCGTATTCTTTCAAAATCCTACTCGTGAAAAAAAGAAAAAACAGCCCTGAAAAATACTTCATATACCAAACACTTGTGATACAAAAGTCATGATGGGCTCGGGAATTACGAGAATACAACTAATAATTTTTGTTCACCCACACTAAGTTTTATTTTTACCTGAATTACAAAGAATACGGAAGTGATGGGGAAAAGTTTACTCAATTATCGACCTAAGAAACAACACGATTGAACGGGAGTTTATAAAATATAGTAGAGCCATCAGCAAAATTACAAGAGAAATTAGTGCTTTTTAGAGCACAAAGGTTTCCCAGGCTAGCCAAACTATTACATGTACTATCCGATGCGATTTTAACATAAGAAGATCCTAACAGAAAAATTTTATTTTGTGGCTCGTATAACTGACACTAGTTGTGTGGGGCTTCTTTTTTGTCTCATAACTGTGTGAGTCCCAAAATTTTGTGGACCTAAATGTGTAAGACACGGGTCCACAAATATGTGAGATAAAAAGAGGTCTCACACAACTAGTGTCTGTGTGAGACACAAAATAAAATCACTCATCCTAACTTGTCTGCTGACATAGCTGTCATAGCAAAGCAAGGTGGGGCTGCATAACGAGATTTTATGTGTGGCTTGATCAAGTAATTTTACAAGTGTATATCTCTAGCTTTACATTCTTATGAATCATGCTTGAGCTATACTTAAGATAATTAGGGTTGTGCGATTAAAGTAGATGCAAAAAGGTAAAATAGGCAGGTCCAATATCTTGTGGAATGAAATTATAAAATCATGAAACGCTACAATACAAATAAGAATAAACTAGAAATGTCAGGTCTTTTACCTTTATCAACATTGCACAGATTTTTCCCGAAATGTGTGTGTTTTAATCAAGAAGTTTTTGCAAAAATTCAAGAACTGTGTTATGAAAACTGGATTAAAAGAAAGTTTCCTTCTATTCAAAAAACAATTACTCCCTTGGGTCAAGGAATATCACTTTTGTGTTTGGATGGATAATCAATTTCTAATCTTACCATTTCATTTTAATCTTATCGGATGCTTTGAAGGTAGAACTGTCAATATGGGCAGGCCCAGTGCAGCCCACACAGGGGAGAAATTCAAAAATAGCCAGGTTTACAAGTGATCATTCAAATATAGCCACAGTTTCAAAAGTCATAGAAATTTAACCACTTTTCATATAAAGATAAATCTGAACGAAAACACTGTTCAAAATCCGGAAAATACTCCAGCATAATATACTGGAATTCCAGTATAATATACTGGAGTTCCAGTATACCGGTTCAGCATAATATGCTGGAAGTTCATACACAGGTGCATCAAACTCCAGTATATTATGCTGGACCGGTCTCTGTTGCAGCAAAATAGTAGCTATTTTTCAATGACTTAGCAAACGCTGACTATTTTTGAATCACCAGTCCGAAAACTGTCTAGCCCGTGCTATTTTAACCCCACATAGGCCTTGACATTTGGCGGGTTGGATCAGGCTGGCGCACCATTTTGATGGGAGAAATTCAAAAATAGCCAGATTTACAAGTTATCATTAAAAAATAGCCACAGTTTCAAAAGTAATTGAAATTTAGCCACTTTTCATGTAAAGATAAATCTGAGCGAAAACACTGTTCAAAAATCCGGAAAATATTCCAGCATAATATACTGGAGTTCCAACATAAGTATAATGGAACTCCAGTATATTATAATGGAGTTCCAACATAAGTATACTAGAACTGCAGCATATTATAATGGAGTTCTAGCATAAGTATACTGGAACTCCAGCATAATATATTGGAGTTCTAGTATAATATACCGATCCAATATAATATGCTGGAAGTTCATTCACAGCTGCTCTAATCTCCAGTATATTATGCTGGAACTTTTCGCATGTTGGAGTTCCAGCATAATATGCTGGAAGTTCATACACAGGTGCACCGATCTTCAGTATATTATGCTGGACCGGTCCGTGTTGCAGCAAAATAGTGGCTATTTTTTAATGACTTTGCAAATGCTGGCTATTTTTGAATGACCAGTCCGAAAACTGCCTAAGCCGTGCTATTTCCATAAATGCTTAGCCCAGAGCGAGCCTATGTGTGTTGCGACCCCTAATGGGCTGCCCACCATTTTCTGTAAAAATTGCACGGGGTGCCCTATTTGGTCGCCTCCATTTAATCTATACCCATTTTTTAAAAAACTTTTAACTTGTACCCACTTTTTAAACAACTTCAGCCCCCTTTCTCCTCCTCCTTCTCCATCACCATCACTGGACTAGAGAGAAAAAGGCTACTGTCTCAATTATTGAATACTAGCGTCTAACCAGTGAAAGGCTTGACTTCTTTCATCTTCATTGCTCAATTTTTCGCTATCTACTTCTCTATTTTTTTTTTGTACCCATTCAATTAGAACGAAGTCACAGTGATGTATTTGTCACAGAAATACACCCATCATCATTATCACATTTTGTTTCTTATTGCACAACAATGAGTTGGAAACCTCAATTCCAAAAATTAAATTTTTGAGCACCAATTGCAGTGTTACTTGTAAGTAAGATTGACAAAGACGACAGTTACACAGAAATGTTTCGTAACGCTTGCTCATGTGTTCAATGAAGACGTCGATAATGAAAATGGTGTTGCTGCCACAAGAAAAATGTACTTCAGCTCTAGAGTTGAAGTTCGTCAGTTACAAAACAAAAACTTCAGCTCTAGAGCTGAAGTTCGTCAGTTACAAAATAAAAACTTTAGCTCTAAAGCTGAAGTTCACCAGTTACAAAAACAAAAACTTCAGCTCTAGAGCTGAAGTTCGTCAGTTACAAAATAAAAACTTTAGCTCTAAAGCTGAAGTTCACCAGTTACAAAAACAAAAACTTCAGCTCTAGAGTTGAAGTTCGCCATATATAAAACAAAAACTTCAGCTCTAGAGCTGAAATTCGCCAGTTACAAAACAAAAACTTAAGGTCTAGAGCTGAACTTCAGGCCCGGCTACTAGAATGATGAAGTTTTGCGTGATTGCCTTTGCTACTTCAGCCCCGTATGCTGAAGTTATGCGAAAAAGCGGGTACGCTTGCAATTTTTTTTGCAAAGCGGACACAAGTTAAAACGTGACACAAAAAGCGGGTATATATGTAAATACCCCCCATTTTCTTAATTTTTTATTTAAGTTCTTATCTAAAATTAAAAAAAATAAAATAGTTATTTACAAGTCAAAAAATATCTTGTTGGATAGAAAGCTCCTCTAAAAACTTAATAACTTTTGAAATTGTCTCAATAGATTACAATAAAATACAAAAAAGGAAGGACAATGTTTCATTTGTTAAAAGTCAAAATTCGAAATAAATTAATAAAACATCTTTCACGGCAGCAATGACATATCCAACACGAGCACATTATCTTCATCAAGCACATTTAAATCTTCTTTATGATTAGGTTGTCTTAAAATCTTCAATTTCATCTAGATTTACACTTTATATGTAATCTTAATTAGTTAAACATTAAGAAATAACTAAATTTAAGATCTAACTATATTTGAATAATTTTTATTTGGCCCACAGACTGGCCCAACATCGTCTAAGCCTCGCGGGCCACGAGCTTATGTGGCCCGGGACAGTAAATCAATACTTAATGCAAATCTAAGATAGAGCTAAAGCACAAAATGTATTTCTTCCAATCAGTTTCAATTTTGATTAATAATTTTTAGTTTGTAAGGTAAGTCTTCATATAACATAAATTTCCTCCCATACAAAATGAAGGAAAGAATCTAAGTGAAATAGGATTGAAAATAAGTTTTGTCTAACAACCTTTGACTTTTTACCAAATTTGGTTCTTTGTTATATTATATAAAATCTGTGTAAGGATTACATTATCTAATTACAGTCCAACAAACATCACATGTAATAGTATAAATTGTGCCTTCTTCGTTCTCTCTCATACAATCAACTTAGTTCCTATTCAAAATACATTTTCATCCTTCTCCTACTTACAAAACAAGATCATCTTCTGTATATTTTTGAGTTTCTCATAAACTTCTTCCTTCACTTCCTTTCATATTTATCCATTGGCATAATGCTCCAGGTCCTCTTGCAGTTGGAAACTACAATTCCGCACAAAATTTCACTTACCATATTCGTAAAAACCTAGATTAGTTATTAGCTTTTGGAAAGAAATGGTGCCAAAAAGAAATACATGTCTCTTTCCTTGGGGCGAAGTAACTATCACCGTAGAGGACATGCTGGTTTTGAGAGGTAATTTTCTCTACCAAGGGAATATGTATTAACTTTCTTAAGTTAGAAGATCAAATAAGATAAATAATTAATTATTGGAGGCTTAAAATAAATGAATGAAAACTCTATCTCATATGGCCACTCATGATTGGTAGTTAGATGAATGAATGGGGAAGGTAGTGAAATAGAACATGATGTCTTTCTTACCATATGAATTTCACGATTTGTCTTCGTAGTGTCTACTTACATTGTAAGGAAGTTTCCCTAATGCAATTCGTCTTGCTAAGGTAACAAAATTTCGCTTGCACTTGCCTTTCCTGAAAGCATCTATGGAGATCTATACTGCAATAAATAATGGATGCGAGATTTTGTTACCCCGAGCAAGACGAATTGCTAAGGGAAAAAATCTTTTACAATGCCATTATAGGTGGACCTTAGTAATACAAATCGTGAAAATCATATAGCAAGAAAGGTTTTATGTTCTATGTCACTGCCCTTCTCCATTATGACACAATTTTTACTCATTTACTTCGAATATCCAATAATTGATTATTTATTCTTATATGATTTTCTGAGTTTATAGAAATTAATACTTATTCTCTTAGTAAAGAGAATGACCTCCTAAAACTAACATAGTTTCTTCATTACGAGAAAAGACAAAATGTATTCGTTTTTGGGCACCATTTCTCCCCAAAAGAAAACAATTGATCTTGATTTTTATCGAATATGGTAACAACAACAACAACCACCCAGTATAATCCCACTTAGTGGGGTCTGGGAGGTAGTGTGTACGCAGATCTTACCCTTACCCTAGGGTAGAGAGAGTGTTTCCAAATAGACCCCCGACATCCTTCCCTCCAAGAACTTCCCACCTTGCTCTTGGGGAGACTCGAACTCACAACCTCTCGGTTAAAAGTGGGGGTTGCTTACCATCAGAGCAACGCCTCTTATCGAATATGGTAAGTGAAATTTAAAT